GTACCTCGTTTAGATATTCAGTCGCTGCGTTTAGGTATTTAGTCAGCGACTTGTTTATGTATTTAGTCCAGAGGCGTAGCGACCCTTCCCGGCGCCCGGGGACAAACTTTTCGATTTGCACCCCCCCCCCCCCCCCCCCGAGAGATTTTGATTTGCACCCCCCTTCAAACTTTCGATTTGCGCCCCCCCCCCCCCCCCCCCTCGAGATTTTGATTTGTGCACCACAATAAGTCAGACGGTGACACGATTCTCGAGTGAAACCACGTCTGATCTTAAAGGCCACGGGATCCAAAGACAAGACGCGTGGTGGAGTTCACTTGGACAAATTGGGGGTAGGGGTTGGGGAGAGCGTGGTGTTCAGTGTTTCTCTCAGGAGGAGGCTAGTGTCCCCCGGAGCACTGCACCCCCACCCCCCAACAGGTTAGAACAAAATGTGTAATGTATACAGAAAAATATATTCTTTGACCAGCATCCATCCCCTTCACGGATAAAATATCTTAAACAAATGCCAGTGATGAGTGGAGAGGGATTAAGAGAAATACATTGAACCTGTAGGGTGCTCGGGTACCTAAACTCGATGGTTGATCAGGGTCATGCTAGGCCTGACTTTAACTGTATGACGTCAGTCTTGACGTAGGACTTACTGGCTGACTCATCATGTTGCTTGACTTTTCTGTCAATTTGACTTCACGTTTACCTGCTGAGTCAACTTTGGTTGGCATGTCCTTGTCGATTCATTTAACAAATTAACTTAGCGTTTAATTATCGATTTGATTCGTCAGCTTTGGATACACGTATGGTATACAATGTATATATATATATATATATATATATATATATATATATATATATATATATATATATATATATATGTGTGTGTGTGTGTGTGTGTGTGTTTGTGTATGTGTGTGTGTTTGTGTGTATGTGTATGTGCGTGTGTTAGGAATCAAGTACATACTATTGGGGTAGTGGGGAGGGCGTTTTCCATTTTCTTATATTGTGTTATATTGGTTGGAGCGGTGGTTCAGAGCGAGACTATATATTCAGACTTTTATTTAATCTATTATATTCGATAATTTATTTTCCGGTTATACACTGCAACTATTTTTTAAAGTGAACAATGAAAAATTGTTTTCTGAGTTGGAACAGATAAACTCTACTTCATCTGCCCAAGGCGTCTTGAGCGCAAAGGCAAAAGATGATGATGATAATATTCCGCTAACTTTCTGAGAAAAAAATTATATAATTTTATATAGAGCATTATGTTAGTGTATATGATGAACCCGATCCTTTACATTATGTACATAGACGCCTAGAAGAGTTCCATTTCGCCACATGGCTTTCCCTGGCAGCTAAGTTTGTAAAAAAAAATGTATCCTGTGTGTTACGCTAAGCTAACATCTGTTGGTCTGTAGGCTTTACAACAACAAAAAATTACAGAAAAAAAAAATTTAGGCGTATGCTCAAGAGTTCTGAGTTTCAGCGTAGTTTTAAAAAATGTAGGCTCGAATATTAACGTGTAATATATTTTTTAAATGTATTTTCTTTTTTCATACAGACAAATGCATGCAATTTTTAATCGACGTTTTATAAAACTGTAATTGAAATTTTGTTATTTGAATAATAAATTCAATACCCTTTTTTTTTATTCAGGGGAATGTATTCTTAGATATTAAAGAAAATCTTTAATCAAAGAGTTGTGTGCCTTTGTTGAGCCAGCCCGACTTGCTGAACACTAAACGAGACACAACATTAACAGCATTAATTATATATATATATATATATATATATATATATATATATATATATATATATATATATATATATATATATAATAAGATTTTAAATGTACTCAAAATAATATAATTTTTATTTTTTTTTAGTTGTCTGAAGTTATTTAGTTTTTCAAATAAATACAGTGCACTTCAGTTTTGAAATTTCAAAATAATTTACATTTCTGTACACTGACACCAGGTATAGAAAATAATATAAATTTATCAAAAACTTGCTATATAAAAGAAATGAAAAAGAATTGATTGATTTCAAAATTATATACTAGATATCTGATTTCATTTGAGATAAAAGCTATTGTTTTGTAACAAAAATTTTGTTCATTTTTTTATTTTAGTGCATTTAAAAGCTTTTTATTATAAAGTTGTATTTTATTAATTTGTTTTTAATGAGGTCGACAGCAGATATATCTTACAATATTTTCTTTGAACAATTACCGTTGTAAACAGGTTGATCAACTAAGCTATTGGGATTAATTATGGTGTTATCTCCCCTTCTATTATAAAATATAGAAATGTATCTTGATATTAAATTTAAGTACTATTTTAATAATCAGTTCAATGCTCGTGTAAATTGTAGAGCATATAATTGCAAAATAAATATTTGAAATCGAAAGACAAAAAATCTTTACCAATGAAGGAGCAAGCACGAAGTAGCATTAAAATTATATACAAATCCGTCATTAAAAACGCAAAGGAGCTCCTGGAAACCTATTGTATACATTTGTATTTTAACCTTAACTAAAAAATTGAGGTTCATAAAGTCTCAAACCATATAATTATTCAATTGGCAGCTATGTTATTAAGTTCTTTTCATTTTTGTACAACAAAAGTTCATTTTTTTTTTTTTTTTTACACTGTGGCGATGCTAACTTCCAAAAAGTTCATTTGATTTTGCTTAAATCCCAATGTTCTATTGCTCAAAATTACACATACAAACAAATACACACACACACACACAAACCGAATTTCTGTAACTACAAATATGTCAGATCCTATCTGTTATTTAGGTTTGTGTGTAAAATTATCCGAAGATTCAGATAATTAATCTACCATACAACTGTTATTCAAGAAACAAATTACAAGTTTTCTAAAAGAAAAGCGTAATTTACCGTCAATTTTTCAACACGTCATCTCTAAGAGTACATGAACGACACCTTAGAGTTATAAATGGAAACTTCATCAGAGGTGCCACGTAGCTCGGCATCAAAGAGGAACGGAATCTCGCTCAGAGAGTCTCCATGTTAATGAGATATGCGACTCTAATCAGAGAAAAGAAAAGTTAATTGCATTACAATGACCGCAATATCTTTTCCTGGAGAGCTGAAAATGATATGTTTGCATTTTAATTACTTTTCACACATTTTTTAATACGTTTAAAATACATGTTTTTCAGCTATGATGAAGATCTAAGGTCGTTACATCATTTCTTGCGTTTGATTTTTTTTCGCAAACTTTTTTAACTACTTTAAAAAAATTAATTCCAATATTTTTTTCACTTCATTCATAGTTTTTTCTTGTTCCTTTGTCTTAACTTCATTTTTTGTAAATATAAAATCTAAACGCCGAATGGGCTGGGGTGGGGGCTGGGTGTAGGGGCTGGGGGTGGGGATGAAAGAGGTGGATGACCTAGTATATTTATGTAGGCTTCCTTATAAACATGTAACGCAATGGATGACGCGATCTCAAGCTTTATCTTTTTAATCGTCCTGACGTAGTGCGGTTTACGTCGGCGGTGGGAGAGAGAAGAGGGTGGTGATGAAAGATGGAGGGGGGATGATGTTTTTTCTTGGGTTGGGGTGGGGGGTAATGTTCGTAGGGTCGCGATATTTTTTAAGCAGCGTTTGATACGACAAAAGCATTTAGCTAGTAAACTTTATTCTATTCCGGGAAACTTATTACTTTTTCGTTTATTTTTGTATACCATGGAGGCAATTTCTTTCAACATAATTAAGTATTATGTGTCAACATGTTATGCGCCATAAAGGCCGTTGATTCTGACTTCAGCCTGCTTTTCGTTCTGGATTTGCTTCCAAAGCCTTTGTCCATCCAAGAAAAATCTACAAGACAGCAGTAGATTTTGGAAATACTCTATCCTAGATGAGTAGCTGTACCCAGCCACTGAGCTTCTTCTGTCTGGAGATCCGAACTCCAGACCTTTGGGTTAGCAATCATCATCATTATGCTGTCCCACCCGACCACACCGTCTTGACTTTTGTAAAAAAAAATGCGTTTTTTTATAAATCAAATTAGATTGATGCTAATTTATCAAATAATTAAGTTAAATAATGTAATCTAAGAAACAGCTCTGTCTTGTACAGTGTCTGATCTACAGTTATACACATAATCAAAACAATAACTTTACAACATCAACTTTATTCATGAAATGTGTTACATGAACGTGATGTTTTACTGTTGCTATTTGATTTTATGAAGCACTGTCCCCAACAGGCGAAGGGACTTTGGAACGGCGTGGCTTAGTGGTAGAGCGCTAGACTGCTAAAATGAAAGTTTCAAGTTCGAACCCGCGTTCAAATCAGTAGAACGTCCCTGAGTCCGCCCACCTCTGATGGGTACCTAACTCGCGTTAGGGAAACAAAAGGCTGACCACATTATCCCCTTGAAACAGATTAACTCTACTTCATCTGCCCCATGTGCCTTGGGCACAAACGAGAAAAGTTGATGATTTGATTTTTATGAAGTGGATGTCCCCACAGGGGAGAGGACTGTGTGGAACATCCCATTTACAACCCCCCCCCCCCACATGCCGTTTCTGTTATTGTTTATTTTTTTACCTTGCGCTTTTCTGTCTTCTTAATTTTAGAGAAAACTCTTTGTAAATCAGGCTTCGATCTAGTTTATGTGACAGAAACGCATGAAGAATTAGTGTAATTATTTTTTTCTATTTTTAGAACCCAGCACCTCAAAACACCGGTGCTAACCTTACAACCAAGTTCGGTAACTCTGAAAAGCACATGTATTGTTTGTTTTGCCGTGTGTCTCAAGAATTGGTTTCTTAACGCGGTAAAAAAAATGTTTTAAATTATGGAAGTCATACCGGTCAAGTTACTACTGAGATGATTGGTTTCAGTATGTAGCGTCTTACGGCTGTCGAGAAAAATGTCTGCTAAGCTGCTGGATTGGTGAGGTTGGTCTGTGTCTTCTGATTCTATGAACATCTAACTTAGATTTTAAGGTAAGTTTCGATTAGCCGTACCCACATATTAGGCCTACTGATAAGATAAAGATTCGCATAAGTACTAATAGTATTGGCCCTAGAGCTAATCAATTCAAACCTTAACCCAACGATTCGAGACCAATTCGTCATTTCATGTGTGTGGATCTGGCTTGGGCTAGAAGAATTAAATCTATATTGAGTGATATAGATAAATTGTATCTATATTGAGTGATATAGATAAATTGTATCTATATTGAGTGATAATTAGATAAATTGTATCTATAATTGACTTATTGAGTGATATAGAGAAATTGTATCTATATTGAGTGAAAAATAGATAAATGGTATCGATATTAAGTGATAAATGGTAAATAGATAATCTGTAGCTATATTGAGTGATAAATAGATAAACTGTATCTATATTGAGTGATAGATACATAAATTGTATCTATATTAAGTGATAAATAGGATACATAACTTGTATCTATATTGAGTGATAAATACATAAATTGTATCTTTATCGAGTGATAAATACATAAACCATCACTATATTGAGTGATGATAACATACACCGAATCTATAGTAACTAAATGATGAATGCATAAGCCGTATCTATACTGAGAAGTAAATGGAAAAATCTTATGTATATTGAGAGATAATTACATAAACCATATATACAATGTATGATATATACATAGACCTATACTTTTTAGTTATCGTCAATACAGTATAGTATCCATCTATCCACACTAAAAACAATATTTTCACAGCAATCTATGAATAGAAACGACCCTAGCCGATTCGATGACGCCATGGCGCTGGTCCCCTACCCTCGGTCCTCCACCCGCTTGAGGGACGGGTCCCCACTCCCCAACAACCGCCGTCGCCGGAGAGACTGCGAGTTTTGGCCCGGGGAGAGCCGCTACGTGCCCAGACGGAGACAGTGGCGGGGGCGTGACCCGTGTCAACCTGACCCGTGTCTGCCTGACCCGTGTCTACCTGACCCGTGCCTACAGGACCCGGGTCAGATCCTGTGCGCGAGCCCGGACTGGAGACGACCGAGGAACATCCGATGGTCAAACAGGGACGAGTACTGCTGCCCGGACAGATGGGGACCGGACGGTTCCAACCTGGACGTGTACGGCCTGATGTCTGCCAGCGACGGGTTCCACCGGCCATCCTGCGAGGACAGGTACCCCCGCCGGTCACGTGAGGACAGGTACGGCCTGAGGGCGGGCCAGTCTGGGACTGAGGGGCCGGGCGATGTCCCGTCCCCGGGGCAGGCTGCCTGCATGAACGACCTGCTGCAGGTGTCGCGGCGTGACGGCAACCAGAACTCGGACGTTTTTCTCAGGTGAGATGGCGTGGTTGCCATGGCAACCAAATATTCTTCTCAGGTGAGATGGCGTGGTTGCTATGGCAACCAGATATTTTTCTCAGGGGAGATGGCGTGGTTGCTATGGCAACCAGATATTTTTATAGTTGTATAAGATGTCCAGGTATCTTATGAAATAGTTCTGTTAATATGTTGTTTGTTTGCCCATTGATTTATAACAAAGTTGCCTTTTTCCTAAACTGTGCTGTATTTCCTTAAGCATCTCAACCGCAAACTTCGCCAAAATAAATCAATACAAAACGGTACAGTAATCTGTTGTAGCTTATTGTTTTATCACAGTTGCCAGTCAGGGTTTTGAATATTTTTTAAAATCTGGCCAGCCAGTGTTTACCAAACCTGGTTGGTATTGAAACTAAATACTAGAAATCTTTCAGACTTTTATGAAAACAACAGAAACTGGGGAATCATGAAAGCTGTGCATGGCACCCGTTCATTTGTCAAACTGTTGTCTTAGTATAAGATTGTTTTTTTTTTTATTACTGTTTGTACGTCATACAAACCTGGTGACGATTGTTTGTACGCTATGCAAATCTGGTGACGATTGTTTGTACGCTATACAAACCTGTTGACCGTTGTTTGTACGCCATACAAACCTGGTGACCGTTGTTTGATTCGACAGATGCCCACCGCCAGAGTTGAACACGGACAAATTTATCCTCAAACCCTGTCAGATCGACATTCTCCTGTCTCTGGCTGCTTCAAGTAAGTCTTACCTCAGTCACACAAACTCTTCAAGTAAGTCTTACCTCAGTCATACAAACTCTTCAAGTAAGTCTTACTTCAGTCAAACAAACTCTTCAAGTAAGTCTTACCTCAGTAACAAGTAAGTCTTACCTCAGTCATACAAACTCTTCAAGTAAGTCTTACGACACTGACATAAACTCTTCAAGTAAGTCTTACCTCAGTCAAACTCTTAAAGTAGGTCTTACTTCAGTCACACAAACTCTTACATTAACTCGTACACATTGGGGGACGGAGTGGTCGAATGGTAGAGCTTACGACTGGTAACCTGAAAAGTCTCGAGTTCGGATCTTGAGGTCGAGCTTTTAGGACGATCCTGAGATCAACCAATGTTAGGAAAATCAAGCCGGCTGGACATAGTGCTAACAACATTTTCCTCATGTATGCCGTGGTCAATGAAACAGATGAACTCTACTTCATCTGCCCCATGTGTCTTGGGCTCCAGCGGGGAAAAATGATGTTGAAGTCTTACACTAAACTCTCTAAGCTAGTCCTACTGCATTTGCTGCGTTTACTATTTTGATTGGTTTAGTACTCTGTCTTAACATTGGCTATTAATAGAGGCTTAACAAATGTGTGGGTGGGGAATTACTGGAGGCGTGACAAGGAATTAGAAGGGGTGTGAACATCACAGGCTGTCACCGCCAGAGACGACACCACTGGTTAGGTACGATAATTCTATCTCACTGACCCGTAACTCCATCTCTACGTCTGATATAAGCGGCCATGTTTTGACATAAACTCATCCCCTCCCTCCCACCCCCCCCCCACCCCCCAGATGGGACCAACACGGACATGGTGCACCAGTGCAAGTACGCCCTCATGTCGTGCGATATCGAGAACTGCATCAACAACTACCTCATCGCCGCCAAGTTCCAGCTCTGTGACGTCATGGACCGCATCCTCGACCTGATCCGGCTCAACTTCATGAGCATCATCCGGACGCGGGAGTTCCTCTCGCTTCCGTGTGACGTCGTCGTGGTAGGTCAAGGTCATAGCTGGCAATTTTTTAATATAAAAATAATATTATAGCAAGCAGGCAATTGCGGAGTGGGAACAGGGCATTCCCCCACCTCCCGTCAATTACCCCCCCCCCCCCGGACATTTCCCCCCGTCATTAACGTCCGGAGTAATTATCCCCCTGTCGAGTACCCCCCCCCGCCCAATAGGACATTACCTCCCCCCCCCCCCCCCCCGGTCATAGCTTAAGGTTCAGCTAGGGTTAGAGTTAGGGTTTGAGTTTGGGCTGGGTCTAGGGTTAGGGCTAGGGTTAGTGTTAGGAGCAATGTTGAGCTTAAAATAAATCAATGGCAAGAGTTGGGTTTGGTTTTGGGTTTAGTTTAGGGTGAGGTGAATTCTTAGGATTTTCGTCTTATGGTTAGGATTAAGTTAATATATAGGTATAGAGTTGGAGTTTGAATCAGGATTCTATCTTGGTGGATGGGGGTGGGTGGGGTAATTCCCCTTGGGGGTAATTGATAGGGGGTAATTGACAGGGGGTAACTGACAGAGGAGTATTTGATAGGGGGGTGGGGGGGGGGGGGTAATTGATAGGGGGTAATTGACAGGGGGTAACTGACAGAGGAGTATTTGATAGGGGGGTGGGGGGGGGTAATTGATAGGGGGTAATTGACAGGGGGTAACTGACAGAGGGGTAATTGATAGGGGGTGGGGGGAGTAATTGATAGGGGGTAATTGACAGGTGGGTAATTGCTCCGGGGGGGGGGTAAATACGAGGAATGTCGGGGGGGGGGGGTAATGTCCTGTAGCCTTGCGGAGTACAGTAATTATGTTTCACTGTATGTTTGGAGCATTACAATGTTAAGTTTAAACTTTAGAGGCTAAAAGTTGTAAAAATAAAAAAAAAATGTTCACAATTTACTTCAGATAATTCATGTTTGGCTCATGATAAAACATTCTAATATTGTCTGACTTATATTCGGCGTTAGAAAATTTGATTAAGTTTTCCTTGAGACAATGTCTGGAATTTTGATTTTCTCCAGATGTTTCTAACGGACTCGAATGTCAACGTGACGTCAGAGCTGGAGATCTTCTTCGCGGCCTTGTCGTGGGTGGATTTTAACAAGATGGACAGGATGCCGGACGCAGGTCGGTGTCAGAAGTATCTGTCTGTCATAGGTATCTGTCTGTCATAGTTACCTTATGCCATAGGTATCTGTCTGTCATAGGTATATGTATGCCATAGGTATCTGTCAGTCGTAGGTGCCTGTCTGTCATAGGTATCTGTCAGTCGTAGGTGCCTGTCTGTCATAGGTACCTGTCTGTCGTAGGTATCTGTCTGTTATAGGTATCTGTCTGTCATAGGTATCTGTCTGTCGTAGGTATCTGTCTGTTATAGGTATCTGTCTGTCGTAGGTATCTGTTTGTCGTAGGTACCTGTATGTCATAGGTACCTGTCTTTACCTAGGTACCTGCCTGTGATAGGTACCTGTCTGTTGTAGGTATCTGACTGTCATAGCTACCTATCTGTTAGTTACCTGTCTGTTATAGGTATCTGTCTGTCGTACACGTGTCCTTACCTTTCTTGGCCAACGTTAACTGACATTGATCGCAGATTAGTTGACCATCTTTAGTTAACCATCTTAAATTGATCATCTTTAGCTAACCATCTTAAATTGGCCATCTTCAGCTGACCATCTTAAATTGGCCATCTTTAGCTTACCATCTTAAGTTGGCCATCTTTAGCTGGCCATCTTATATTAGCCATCTTTAGCTAACTATCTTAAATTGGCCATCTTTAGCTAACCATCTTAAATTGGCCATCTTTAGCTGACCATCTTAAATTGGCCATCTTTAGCTGACCATCTTAAATTGGCCATCTTTAGCTAACCATCTTAAATCGGCCATCTTTAGCTAACCATCTTAAATTGGCCATCTTCAGCTGACCATCTTAAATTGGCCATCTTTAGCTCACCATCTTAAATTGGCCATCTTTAGCTGACCATCTGCAAAACTCAACCACGCCCACACCAAGCTCAGCTGCTAATCCATACCCTCCATCCCCCGCCACATTTCGTCAAAGATTTGCTTTACAATACATAAATAGCCTTCACGTGTTTTCCGTTTAATTTGATTAATTATACACAACATGTCGACCCCAGGGGGGGCCACATAACGGAAATGATGCAGCCAACAGCTGAACATTCTCAACGCATAACCTGTCGATGTTTACATAGATCTAACACAAACTTCAATTACACTAACAATTTTTTTTTAATTTTAATATCTAACTGGCCTTGATTATATTTTTACCATACACAAATTTATAATGAAGGTTAGAAAAATGTTTCGTGAACACTTCTGTTCAATGATAACCATCTAACCTTTGCTGGAATTGAGTTTGCTTAATTAGTATATTAAATGCAGGACGTAAAGCTTACGACTTCTATTTAATTAATTGTTTTCAATGCCTTAAGCTAAATTTTATTTTACCGTTAAAAAAAGCCAGAATTATAAGAAAATACATAAATTATGTCCGCTATATCGTGTTTATTCAATCGAATATTATATTCACCAGACAAGTTTGTGCCATATTTAGTTCATCTACCAAATAACAGTGATGTCCCTACAATATGTTAGTCCCTATATAATTTGTGTATGTTATAATGGTTGTCCCTATATAATGTTTGCAGTGGCGTAGCCAGGATCGTCTCAAGGGGGGGGTCCAATTTTTACCCGGGGACAAACTTTCTATTTGCACCCCCCTCAAACTTTCGCTTTGCACCCCCCCCTCATACTTTTTCTATATACCGAGGGGTCTATGGGGGGGGGTTTATGACCCCCCCTAACCCCCCCCCCTGCCTACGCCACTGAATGTTTGTCTTCATATAGTTATTTTCCCTTTTCATCACGTTTTCCCAATCCTGTATTTTCCTATATTACGCTTGTCCTTATATCAAGTGTGTTACTACATAACGTTTGCCCGTCTATCACATTTACCCCTTTATCATATTGTTTACATAGTTTTTGTCCCCATTTACCATGTGTCCCTACATGACGCTTGTCCCTGTCACGTTTGACCCCCCCCCCCCCCACCACCCCACCCTACAGGTCGCGTCCTGAACTGTGTCAGGTATGTGTACATTGACCCAGAGGACATCATCAAATATGTGGAGCCTAACCTGCATCTCTTCACTGGTGAGCAGGGGATGGATGCCATCATTAATATGTACAGGTGAGTAGTTGGTGTGTACAGGTGAATACAGGTTGGTGTACAGGTGAGTATAGGTTGGTGTGTACAGGTTGTTGAGTACAGTTTGGTGTGTACAGGTGTGTACAGGTTGGTGTGTAGAGTATAGAATGGTGTGTACAGGTTGGTGTGTACAGGCTGGTGTGTACAGGTTGGTGTGTAGAGTATAGAATGGTGTGTACAGGTTGGTGTGTACAGGCTGGTGTGTACAGGCTGGTGTGTACAGGCTGGTGTGTACAGGCTGGAGTGTACAAGTGAGTTAGGATTGGTGTGTACAGGTGAGTATAGAATGGTGTGTTCAGGTTTGTGTACATGTGTGTACAGGTTGGTGTGTACAGGTGTGTACAAGTGAGTATAGGTTAGTGTGTACAGGTGTATACAGGTTGGTGTGTACAGGTGTATACAGGTTGGTGTGTACAGGTGTGCATAGTTTGGTGTACATGTGTGTACAGGTGAGTACAGGTTGGTGAGTACAGGTAAGTGTAGGTTAGTGTATAGAGGTAACAAAGCTGACAGAAATCACATTCAATATTCCTAAATTTAATAATGTTTTCTTTCATTTAATTTGTTCTAATGAACAAATCTTCCCACCCAGCGCTGCTGGCAAAAAGGTTTTTCAAAAGTAAAGAATATTTAATGTGCTGTAACAATACATCTATAAATACCCCAACACGATTGTGTTTGTCATGTCGTGAAAGTCCATTTAACACTTCAAAAACTACTAGGTCGTATGCTCTTTATTCCCAATACACGATACCCATTTGATTCTTATGAAATCGATCAATCTTCTATAGAATTAAAACAAATCTATACGTTTATTTAACGAAAATCTTCGGACATGATGCCGATAAAGAAGTAAAATGGTGAGGCGTTTGTTCTTCGGTTGCTCTCTTTTTTAGGTTATTCTTACGAATCTTTTGGTGGAAAATATTTTCAATCACTTAGGTCAGGGGTCTCCAAACTTTTCAGCCCGAGGGCCGCATTAACTATCAAATATCAGCTCGGGGGCCAGAGTTTCTTTAAGGCATCTCTTCGGGTTGGTGTGGCGCCCCCCCCCCCCCACCCCCAAAGAACGTCTATCGCCCGCCCCCTCCCACCGAAATATAAGTTATATAGAAATACATACAAATTTCAAGTGTCTACACCCCCTCCCCCCACCAGAAGAAAATAGTCTGGAAGAAACACTTTCGGGGGTCGACAACACAATCGAGGTCCAAGTTTTCTCACGTATTTCATTCTTGAAAGTGTACTTGTTTCAAAAATATGACAAGCCTGAAGGCCTTAAGGTGGGCGTATAGATCAGAAACTAGATTTCCCTCTCTTGCTGTTTTAGGTTCAGAAAATTTAAATGACTAGTTATGTCTGCAGTAGAGGCCAATTTCTATACCCACTCTTCGTGACACGATAATGGCTGTGGCTTGAATTTAATTTCAGGAAGTCACCCATTTATTTTCTTATATATTCTGCTCAGAACTTTCTAGCCAAATTAGCCATCTTACTGATGTAAAATATGGTGAATCTTGCGATTTTGTGTTTGTCTCTGAACTATCAATGGTTAGATATCCTCTCCGGTAACAGTGTCATACATTCTATATAGAGAAGCCAGCTCTTGTGTTATGTTCATGTCTTCAGAGTTTCTTCCAGGCATCTCTTCGGGGGGGGGGGGGGCTAAGTGCCCCCCCCCCCGATTTTTTTTACCTCCCCCCCCCCCCGAACGAAATGAAATTTATTTAATTTATATAGAAAATATATACTTTTAACAGTAGATGCAGTAGATGGCGATCAGACAGGATACAATGAACAAAGCCAACCCCACACCTGTTGGCAAAAGTAAATCAAGACACACGTTTAAAGCTTACCTACGCCCCATCGGAGTGGTCTAGCGGTAGAGAGCTGGACTGGTAACCCTTAAGTCTCGAGTTCGAATCCGGGTTCAAGTCAGTAGACCGTCCCTGAGTCCACCCAACTCTGATGGGTAGATAACTCACGTTAGGGAAAGTAAAGGCGGCTGGGCATAGTGCTGACCACACTCAGTGTTTCTTCCAGACTTTTTTCTCCGGGGGTGAAAAAAAAGTCTGGAAGAAACACTGCATGTCTTCATCCTCACCTCTAATGAACACAAGCAGTTGAAAGGTGGAACAGCTGTCCATTACAATTACAAAATTGCAAAACTTGCTTGCCTTTTTCACTATTTGAGTTACGATGTTTTCACCAATGTTTGCAACACAGCGGGCAAAGGTATTTGCACCTAAAGCTACATTTTCAAATTGGTTTGAATTTTCTGTAAAAAGATCCTCAGGAACCTTTAACAACATTTATTCAGTGGACAAAACTAACATCGCGGGCCGGATGAAATTACCTCGCGATCCGGCCCGCGGGCCGTAGTTTGGAGACCCCTGTCTTAAACAGTCGCCCGACTTTGATTTTTTTTTTTTTTAAATGTCCCTTTGTTCAAGGGATCCAAAATTTTTATTATTAAAAATTTAATCAACAATGTTACAAGTGTATGTCATCATTATTGAATAGAAGTATGTTATAATAACGTTACCGTGTTTAGACTTTGAAAATAAACCTAAAACCAATTAACAAAATATATCCTATTACCACGGTTGCATAGTTGATATAAAAGGTGTTTTAAAATTATTATGTAATAAAAATTAGATCGTTAAACTTTGTATTTCATGTATGTCTTAGTTTCACTTGTTTAATTTAGCTATTTTTCTAAAACGTTATTTCCCTTGAATAATATTTTGGTATTTGGATTTCCAAATGGGAGATAATTCATCCATTTCAAATTCCTCACCTTAAGTTGACCGCTTACATATAAAAAAACCTTTAAGTTACTATTTGCTATTGTAACAATTATATAGAGCAGAAGTTCTAAACAAAATAGTTTGGTAGGTTTTTTTTAGCATTATCCAGTTGAAAAACAAATACATCAGTAGCCGTTGTAGATTGCAATAATTAATGTTAGCAACAAATGCGTCAAAATCATATAATAATATTCTAATTAATTGTCTTTTTATTATTTTTCACCCCCTAATAAAGGATTTATATATAACATTTGTAGCCTGGAATCTATAACATTTATAACCTTTTACTTTTCAAAAACAAAAACAAATCGTTACACAATCATACTATATAGACATTTTACAATTATAACTAAAGACAGTCAGCTTAAAACAGGTAAGTTCCGTCTTGGAACTCACCTTGAGAGATCTGCAGAGAACCCAACACTACAAGAACTGGTTTTTTTTTTCAGTTGTTTTTTTTTCCAGACTTTTTCCCCCGGGGGGGGGGGGGAATAAACATATGAAATTTTCTAAAGGGGGGGGGGGGGGGCTATGTCTGTAAGTACAAAGTAGACTCGTGAACAATTTTCAATATAATGTGATTACGCTTGCAAACTGGAATTGAAGGAATTAGTACAAACTTTTGCGACGAAGGAGGCATGCAAAATTTGATTTTGATGTCTACTTATAACGTTTATGTAATTGATAATAAATTAACAGGTCACTTTTAATTAATTGTTTTCTTATACATATGTTTTATTAATTAGTCTGTGTGAAAGGGAGCGTTTTAATAAGTTTTGCCTGGGGCGCTAAATAACCCGGCGCCGGCAATGCTCCTAGTTCTAACAAGTCATTTGTCTATTAGCTCGAACAAGCTATATGTCTCTTTGTTCGAACAAGACATATGTCTCTTAGTTCGAACAAGCTATATGTCTCTTAGTTCGAACAAGACATATGTCTCTTAGTTCAAACAAGCCACGAGTCTGTCAGATTAAACTGGCCACACGTCTCTTATTTCGAATAAGCCATGTCTCTTTGTTCGAATAAGCGATATGTCTCTTAGTTCGAACAAGCAAGATTATATCAGTTTGAACAGGCTACGCGAGTCTTATTTCGAGCAAGCCATTGTCTCTTAGTTTGAACAAGCCCAGGGGCGGAACTACAGTGCCGCCAGACCCCGCAATGCGGGGGGCCCCAGACCGATTGGGGGCCCAAAAATCCTGGCTAAATTATTACAAAAATTATTTTTTTTTAAATTTAATTTTAAAAAAATAGGTGGATGTCGAGTTATCTTTCTTCTACAGTTACAAACAAACACGATAGTCGGCAAACATCATTGAGAAAAATGCACAGACTATTGCTCGAGAGACCGCCAGACATATAGACAACTTCAAAGACGCAGCCTACCGTTCTTTTTTAGTGTCGTCGATTAGGAGAACAAAAAAGCTTTGAAAATCGGGCTGGGGAAATGTTGCGGCGACTATCCTGGTCTTCTAGACGACCGGAAAAAGTCGGCACTATTGATGTAGATGTTCATCGGCGCTTTCTTGTCCCCTTCCCTTGAACCTTCCCAACTCTCTACCCTCCCCCCATCCCCCTAACCTCTACCCCTCACCACACCCTTACTCTTACAATAAGATGTAATGCATAGATTAACGAACCGTTTATGAACTACTGAACTGTAAACTGACCAATTCTGAACATTTTGTTAAAGACACTAGTCAGTAGTTGTTCATTTACCTCAGGGGTCTATAAGCTTTTCAGTCCGAGGGCCGCATTAACTATCGAATTTCAGTTCGGGGGCCAGTTTCTTCCAGGCATGTCGTGATTTTTCTGAGCAAAGTTCCTCAGCCATCACCAACAAACGTTTTTCCGTAGACAAAATATCTCCGCGGGCCGGATGAGAGGACCTCGCGGGCCGTAGTTTGGAGACCCCTGACTTAGGTCATTGCAGTACCTCTGATTTGTTTTTTATATCACGGTTTTAAGGTTGGACACTGTTTGTTGAGAACTGTGCAGAAACTGCAAAAATTGCTTTATATTTCGTAGTTTTAAAAATCGATGAAAAGAATACACTTGGTTTATACACTACATTTTAACTACCCTTAAGTCGATTGCTAACACAAACGTCACGAGTTGTGGACACGGACTCGAGTGTAGGTTGTTCCTGAGCCCACCAAGCTCTGATGCGTACCTAACTCACTTGAGGGAAAGTAAAAACGGCTGGGCTTAGTTAACATGCTGTGGTCAAGAAACAGATAAACTCTTCTTCATCTACACTAAGGAACGTCGTATAACGTAATATATAACCTCAGATGATATCTCCATAGACTACTCCCTCTCATGTAATAATTCTAGGAATCCCCCTCCCCCCCCCCCCCCCCCCCCACGCGGCCTCCTCCCGCCCCTTACTGAACTCTGATACTATACGATTCTAGAAGAAAAAATCATGAGTTTTAAAATCAATAACGGATAAAATCGCTTTATACATCTTGGTTAGACACTGTTGTAAAGCCGAGAATGAGAAGAAAGAATCTTTCAAGTGGGTTATGTTATCGATTTAGCCGGCTAAATAGTAAAAGTGTTACGGGTCAGTTCAGTTGTAGGTTAGATTAGAATAGGATTGAATGATCAACTTTCAAATCAAGAAAAATCAAAGATTATTTAACCCTTGCTCTCTACTTTCATGTAGCACAAAATAACCTTTGACACTGTTTGATTATATAATAAAACCGGCAGCCGGAAAAACAATTGCCCGAATTCCGTTTACATTTCCCCGAAGGCGACAAACGCTCAAATGGTCACTTGCCTGAATGCGACTAAGCCCGGAAATCATATATGTGTATTAATACGCTATTTGTCTCGTAAAATTATCACCATGCTGAGTAAACTATGAAAATGACAACAACAAAAAACAACTCTTTACGAACTTCTACTTGATAAAGTATACGTTTTTTTTTTGTCGTTTGTTTTTTGGCAAACAGTCTTTGGGCAAATGACATTAGGGCATTCATCTCATTCGAACAAACGTCCATTCAAACATTTGTCGTAGATGGAATAAAGCCAGCAAAGCATTCTTCCCATTTCTGATCCCAGAATTACAAGACCCCGATCCTCCCATTTCTGACACGGCCCTAATCCTCCCACTTCTGACACGGCCCTAATCCTCCCACTTCTGATACGCCCTAATCCTCCCACTTCTGACACGGCCCTAATCCTCCCACTTCTGACACGGCCCTAATCCTCCCACTTCTGACACGGCCCTAATCCTCCCACTTCTGATACGCCCTAATCCTCCCACTTCTGACACGGCCCTAATCCTCCCACTTCTGATACGGCCCTAATCCTCCCACTTCTAACACGGCCCTGATTCTCCCACTTCTGACACGGCCCTAATCCTCCCACTTCTGACACGGCTCTAATCCACTTCTGACACGGCCCTAATCCTCCCACTTCTGACACGGCCCTAATCCTCCCACTTCTGATACGGCCCTAATCCTCCCACTTCTAACACGGCCCTGATTCTCCCACTTCTGACACGGCCCTAATCCTCCCACTTCTGACACGGCTCTAATCCACTTCTGACACGGCCCTAATCCTCCCACTTCTGACACGGCCCTAATCCACTTCTGACACGGCCCTAATCCTCCCACTTCTGACACGGCCCTAATCCTCCCACTTCTGACACGGCTCTAATCCTCCCACTTCTGACACGGCCCTAATCCACTTCTGACACGGATCTAATCCTCCCACTTCTGACACGGCCCTAATCCTCCCACTTCTGACACGGCTCTAATCCTCCCACTTCTGACACGGCCCTAATCCTCCCACTTCTGACACGGCCCTAATCCTCCCACTTCTGACACGGCCCTAATCCTCCCACTTCTGACACGGCCCTAATCCTCCCACTTCTGATACGGCCCTAATCCTCCCACTTCTGATTCCAGGACCAAGGCTCTGATCCTGTCTGGAACAATCCCAATGCCCCCGGGCAGCAATGGCCTTTGCAGGCCCAACCTCACCTACGACGCAATGAAGAACCCCATGGCCGTGGGTCCCATCCGTGAGGTCGCCCCCTCCCGTGGGGTAGGTCCCACGCGTGAGGTCCCGCCCTCCCGTGGGGGAGGCCCCACCCCCGGTGGGTCGAAGCCCGACAAGAAAGGCAAAAAAGGCGGTAAAGAAAATGAAAAGAAAAAGAAAGGGGACGAAATGAAAAGGGAGAAAGATGAGAATAAGAAAGGGGGAGACAAGAGTATGAAAAAAGATGACAAGAAAAAGAAAAAAGGCGATAAGAAAGAGAAACCCCCTGAGGATCTGGCTATGGGGGACATGGGGGGCGAGGAAAACATGCAGACGTTTAGAGAGGAACCTAACGACGCACCGAACGATGCACCGAATGAAGATGTAACGGAGAATAGTAACGAGAACTACTTTTACTACCCGTATCAGGAGATGGGGTACTACGACAACTGCTACAACTACGACTACTGCTACAACTACTACAATGTCTGCTGAAACTCTCGTGTCTGACTTTACCTTCAGGTGAGCGATGTTTAGATCTCATGTTTTTAGCCTGAACTCTCAGTTTTTTCATTGTATCAGGTAGGTTATGTTTAGACCTCATGTTTTTAGCCTGAACTCTCAGTTTTTTCATTGTATCAGGTAGGTTATGTTTAGACCTCATGTTTTTAGCCTGAACTCTCAGTTTTTTCATTGTATCAGGTAGGGTATGTTTAGACCTCATGTTTTTAGCCTGAACTCTCAGTTTTTTCATTGTATCAGGTAGGGTATGTTTAGACCTCATGTTTTTAGCCTGAACTCTCAGTTTTTTCATTGTATCAGGTAGGTTATGTTTAGACCTCATGTTTTCACTCTGAACTCATAGTTTCCTTAATAAACAATGTATAAGGTGAGCGATGTTTTGACATAATGTTTTCAGACTGAATTCACAGCTTACCTTAATGAAAAATGTATAAGGTGAGTTATGTTTAGACCTCATGTTTTCGGTCTGAATTCATAGTTTCCTTAATAAACAATGTATAAGGTGAGTTATGTTTAGACCTCATGTTTTCACTCTGAACTCACAGGTTTCCTCAAAGATCAATGTATACATGTAGTTTTAAAATACTAGATCTAAAAGGATAATCAGATAAACGTGTTGTTTCAAAAAACGTAGCACATGTCTAGTTTTAGGTCCTTAAGGTATCAGCGGTTGGGATTAGGGTTAAGGTAAGGATTAGGTCCAGAAATTGGTTCAGGAAAATTAGAGTCTAGTCGATGGTTATGACCTGTTTTAGAGCTAGCACAGCGAAACTAGCCTAATTTCTTCTTATTAAAATTATTGATACTTTTTTTAAAAACTGTTTCTCGTATATTATATTAGGAGTCATTTGTCAACACATGTATTTGTAACGATGGACGATTTAAAAAAATGTTTTTCACTTATCTGATGAGTGAATTCATACAGTACGTTCTTATAAAGTTGTGAACTAGAGATGGACGCTTCTCTAAACCGTTTTTTATTGAGGCAATACGTAGAAGTGCTTTTAAAATGTAGAAAATATCGGCAAACAATGAAATGAAAAATAGTCACATTGTTTTAACTTTCGTCCCCTCCCCACAGGCAAAATCCACCAATCACACCAACTACAACTTTCACCGCCATCCCACCCCTCCGTCTCCATTTCACCTCCACTCATTACAACCCCCTAATTCCATTTATGGCAGTTATATGGTTAAAAAAAGATGGATTTCGCATACTGACGTTATTTTAACTTTGTTTCGTTTCAGTGCAGAATGCTCTTCCTTTTTAAAGTTACCTTTTGCTTCGTGTAATGAGAAACAAAATTGTAATCTTCAATCTTGGCCAGCAAGAAAATCAGCCCCACGGTCGCTTAGATTTTTTTTTTAAATAAACCAATAAACGTATTCATGCATTTCTGGTTGCGATTGAGTATTTTGATGAGTTACACCATAATGCTAGTCTAATAGACGCACCACTTGCCAGATAAAATATATTACCCTAGTCCAGGGGTCTCCAAACTTTTCAGTCCGAGGGCCGCATTACCTACCAAATTTCAGTTCGGGGGCCAATTTCTTCCAGGTATGTCTTTGATTTTTCTGGGCAAAGTTCCTCAGCCTGCTCCAACAAACATTTTTTCCGTGGACAAAATGATCTCCGCGGGCCGGATGAGAGGACCTCGCGGGCCGCATCTGGCCCGCGGGCCGTAGTTTGGAGACCCCTGCCCTAGTCTAATAGACGTAAGACTTGCCAAATTTACAAACAAAAGTTAGAATCTTAACCGACTCCCCCCCCCCGAAGACCCCCCCCCCCCCCCCCCAACCCCTAAGACTGTGACGCAGTTTATGGATGACCCTAACAGATCCAAATTTGCATGGTTTACCCATCATCGTGTTATTTCAGTTACATTGACGTAAAGAATTCTATTAGCACCATTCTTTACACACACAAAAATCACAATAAAGTACACAAAATTAAGTTTAAAATAACGTTTTTGACATTATTAATTTTTTTTTAAACAAGCAAATAGACCATCGCTTTCTCATTCCACTGTTGATATTATCCCTATACTAAAAAAAATTGTTAACGACGGTACGTCTTTTCATTTATTTATTTTTTGTGGTTGTTTTTTTTTTTTAGTTATAATAGTTTTTTCCTCATTTCAAATTTTCTTATTCACATTGAAAGGTACAGTTTCTTAGAGCTCAGATTTACTTTCTGCTCCTCCCCCGGCCAAATTGTTATATTAATAAATTTGCCATTTATATACTGGATGTGCGGACCCACAACACCACCCAAACACCAAGATAAAAGAAGAACCACCGGACACAACACCACTAAACACCAAGTTAAACGATCACCCACAAGATTCTCAACACCACCAAATGAACAACCACCGGACCCACAACACCACCAAACGATCATCCACCGAACCCACAACACCACCAACCACCCAGTTAAACGAACAACCACAACCAAGACAAACGCGAACCAGATTGTAAAAAGTAAAGAAAGTATAAAATCCCGTGAATGTATCACGCCCGGGTAGCTCTAATGAAGGTCGGAGGTTTTTCTTCTGTGACCATGTTAAGCTCTAAGGTTTCGTATGGCATCTTGTAGAGTTGGGTGCCAGATGACATTTCTCTTGCCAGATTACAGAGTTTATTTATAGCTCATGTATTTAGATATGGCGTAATGTGTTTGTGTGCCCGGTTAGAATAATTTCTCTTAATTATCTAGGTTTTAGTGGGGGTGGGTTTGTATATATATATATATATATATATATATATATATATATATATATATATATATATATATATATATCAAGTTATATATATATATATATAGAGAGAGAGAGAGAGAGGGGGTTACATAATAATTTATCTTAGAAACATTCCAGACAACAGATCTCAAGGACGTAGTATCCCATACAAAATCTCTCACAGTAAAATAACTAAAGTATATAATGAGATTTTTTAAAGCGAGAAAAAGAAACGCAATATGTCGTATTACATTCGACTTACTTATATCATAATTTGTTTCTATTTTATTTGTAATTATAAGATTTTTTTTTCAATGAGAATGAAATAGATTGAAGCACATGCGATATTCACGTTATCAAAAAAAATGTTTGATGGCCTAGGTGGTTTATTTGATCGTGAGACGACCCAACCACCTCTGGTGGACGATACTAGATCAAAAGATTAATCTAGAGCTTTACTTGTGGGTTCCTAGAGGTTCTAGCTTGGTTAGAAGTACATCAAAGTGTTCCGCCCATCTGTTGGTCAAAGCCTATGATGGTGTCCCCTGGTTGTTTGTCCTTGACAGGTCGTTCCGGTTCGCTGAATTTAACAGAGAGACGGTTGGTTGTGTCGTAGAGATGTTTCCTGTTTCCATTGCTTATCTTCAGCTGATAGACTCTCTATGTAAGTGGTTCTTAACCTGGGTTTGATCGGAACCCAAGGGTTTGGGTAGACCGATTCAGGGATTCGGTGGACGTCAAGACCCACCGATGCACAATGCACGATCAGAATACTGTCGGTGAGGACGATACAAGGTTTGGTGAATGTGCATATAAAACTCGTAGGGTTTGGTACCTCCAAAATGGTTGAGAACTTTTAATATAATCTTTATCTTGTTAAAGCTTCTGCTTCACTTCTCTGTGCTCTTGTGGACCTATGCCTTTGCTGTTCTTGTTCTGGTATAGTTATTGTATAGTTGTTCTTCTTTTCTTCTATTTTATGTATGGTCTCAGTTGTAATATATTCCATCTGTTGGAGATTCCTTGGTCCTACTACATCTTAACGTGATGACCATGGCGCTTCTTTCACTTTTAGCAGCAACTGGTTTCTCTTCTAAACCAAAAAGATAAAATTGCTTTTATGGATCTCACGGTGCTAAGGATAGATGCAGTAGAGTTCGTTTTTCTTGACTAGGGAATATGAAGGGATGGTGTGATCAGCAATCTTTACTTTCCCTAACGTAAGTCACGTACCCCAAAAGAGCTGGGTGGACTCATGGAAACTTTAGGGTTAGCAGTTCTAAGTTCTAACCCTAACATTCTGTAAATGTCTTCAGAATTTCTTACAAATGCAGACAAGATGGATCTAGTTTTGGCTCCCTCCATCAGGTGATACGTAAGTACTTCTGTGCACGGCTCTCAGATTTGTAAACAACTACCGTGAACTCTAACTCACCTAACCAGCAAATAGTCGCTATTATCTCCCTTTGTGCTACTAAATATAAGTATTAAAACACTCATTACATTAATTTTAATGACTTTTTTTTAAAATTATACTACACTGACAATTAGATAGTGTACGGTGTTTTACGAGGTGCGTGTATCTTAAACTTCTTTTTTTCTTCTTCTTCGTTCTTAATTTTAGTGTTGGAAGGGATCCCCTCCAACACAATTAAGGATACGTGTCAACTGGTTATGCGCCATTGAGGCCATTGACTCCGATTTCAGCCTGCTTTTCGTTTTGGATTTGCTTCCATAGCCTTTGTCCAACCAAGAACAAACTACAAGGCAGCAGTTGTTTGATTTTGGAGTTATCTCTCCTAGAAGAATGGCTGTCCTCAGCTAACGAGCCTCATCTGCCCGAGGGTTCGAGCTCAAGACTTTTCGGTTTAGCAACCATGAGATTTACCAACTCGACCACGCCGACCCCTTACGCAATTGAAACGTAATTCTTCATTAGAATATTTTTAGTTACAAAAAGTTACCTCAACACACTAGCCTTAATCACTTTCATAAATATACAACAACTATTGTCTGTGTTTGTTTTATAGGATTTAGTGACAGCCTTCTATTCTCAAGAACAGAACGGTAAAAAAAAAGTTATATAATGACATGGATTGTAGTTTATTTTTAAGCCGTCGACTGTTTGTAAGAAACATCACTACAATCTCACCTCTACCGAGCGTTCAAGAAACACATGAAAGTTGTGCAAATAGCCAATTTCTGTCATCAACTAATTACCGTGTGCAGGTCGACGTGGATGAAACTACATGTCGTGAAGCAACCTATATACAATAACCTTCCTCAAACGAGCAATAACAAGATCTTACTATTGTGTCTCACCAGACATAAAACTGTCGCTATGATAATACCATCAAGTTGAGCATAATTACACAGCATATAGCTCTTCTATGCTCATTGCTGAAGATGGAAAGGCTTTTCTATTCTAAAAATAAATATTTTATTTTTATAGTTTGGTAATTTACAACATAGAAGGGAATGATCCCAGTTAATAAAAAAAAAACTTTTTTTTCACACTCTTTTGTTTTCTGAATCAGCATTTTAAAATTAGTTTATTTAGTTGTTGTATTATATGAAATAGCAAGACTCCTGTGGGCGCTTTGTTGAATTTCAGTAATTGTCAAAATCAATCTTTATAATATCTCGGGCAGATGAGGCTCGTTAGCTGGGGACAGCCACTCTTCTAGGAGAGACAACTCCAAAATCAAACAACTGCTGCCTTGTAGTTTGTTCTTGGTTGGACAAAGGCTATGGAAGCAAATCCAAAAAGAAAAGCAGGCTGAAATCGGAGTCAATGGCCTCAATGGCGCATAACCAGCTGAAGAGTAACGCTTAATTGTGTTGGAGGCGTGGTCGAGTCGGCAAAAAGCTCATGGTTGATAAATTCGAACAAAGTCTCGAGTTCAAACCCACTGGCAGATAAATCTCGATCCCCTTCAACACTAATAATTAAGAACGAAGAAGAAGAATCTTTATTATGTATTTAAGTACCAATTTTTCAATTGGTAATCGAAAAATGAAACATATTGAAAATATGTGATTTGAACAATTCAAATTGTGGGATATTTTAATTTTTGAATTGGTCGGATGGTAAAGCGATCGATCCATAACCTTGTTTGGGGTGTGTGGGAGTGTGGGAGTGTGGGAGTGGGAGGTGACGCAATATAGTAATTGACAGCAACAGTTCAACTTTTCGTGTTACTTTCTACACCAATCGTACACTTAATCAAAAACAAAGGCCCAAAATAAAACGCCCTAAATCAAACGCCGAAAATCAAACGCCCAAAATCATACGCCCAAAAATCAAACGCCCTAAATCAAACTGAGCGTCACCTCAACTCGTTTGTCTCCTTTTCTGAACACGTTGAAACAGCAAAGGCGTAGCTAGGGGAGGGCGGGTGGGGTAGCCGCCCCCGGCGTCGAAACTCTGAGGCGCCACTAGGGATAAGAAAAAAAAACTCATATTGAACAACATTACTGCATTATACACAGTCGATATCCAGAAAATAAATTGCAATAGGCCTACAGCCTTACACGTTAATTTAATTATTGTATGTAACGTCTAAGTAACATCAGATTAAGATGTTAAGAGTTAGTGGCCAGTAAAAAA